AAAAAAAAAAAAAAAAAAAGCGCAAAGCCACAATCTATGGTGGTTGAGAGGACATCCTGCAGGCTGCAGGGTGGTTCCAGCTCACGTCCGGTGTGAGCTCCGAGGCAGCAGCTTAAAAAGACAGGTCTTTCTCTTCTCTCCTGGCCAGGCTGCAGCCTCTTGCTTGCAAGCAGGACAGAGCTGGTAAATCTGCACTCACCCTTCACTTCCTACATGGGATATGTGATCACCAACTCCATCCAAAGGCATGTGGGGTTGTGACCGTTACTGTTTATTAACAACAGCATCTCAATCTGTGCAGCACTATGTTTTCTCGGGTATTGTCTCACCCAGGACACACATCCTGTGAGGCAGGCGAGACACTCATTGTACAGATGGAGAAACTGAGGCTACAAGAAGTCTAGAGGCTTATTTGAAGCTACATAGCTAATAAGTGACAGAGCAAGGACTTTATACAGATTTGGATGATATCCAAGGTAGTGATTTGTCCTTTAACCTTGTTCCCCTCTAGTCCTAGTTTTTCCTGAGGTCAACTGGAGCCCCTTAGTGAGTGAGGCCAAGGATTGAGAGTGCTGCAAGTGTGTTGTGGCTGTGGAAAGGACAGAGAACCCTGCTCTGGGAGTCTTAAGCCAAGCCCTGCAGGCTCTGGCTGGATGTGAGTGGCCTGACCTCAGGGCAGCTCCTCCAGCATGACTCAGAGCCAGCACCTTTGGAGGTTTGGAGAGTGGGTTCTAGGAGGCAGCCGTTTCCTGTAGACATGTCCAGCAGAGCACTGTTCTTCTTGACCACACAGCTGTGAAGGCCCATTGCTGCACAGGGCTCCAGAGTCTCAGTGCCTCCCCAAACAAAATAGGGCCTCTCAGAGAGGGACGGTGGGCCTTTCATGATCTTCCCAGTGTGGCTCTGCTGGGAGCCCAAAGCCCGAACAGATCAGTGTCTGGGGACCCCTCTAATCCGTGCTCAGCAGCTTTTCCAGTTTCCCCACGGTCTTCAGCCCAGTGCCAGAAGCACAGCACCCCATACCAACCCATATTGGACTGACTGACTTGAAACAATCCGAGAGTGCAGGAGAACACTCTAAGCAAGAGATTTGGGGCACCTGTCTCCCCCAGGTGGTTTTTCAGTATTGCTGCTATAACAAATTACCATAAACTAAGTGGCTTAAAACAACAAAGACTTATTACCTTACAGTTCTGTAGGTCAGAAGTCCAAAATAAGTCTTAATGGACTAAAGTCAAGGTGTCAGTAGGGCTGCATTCCTTTTGGAGGCTCCAGTAGAGAATCTGCTTCTGTGTCCTTTCCAGCCATAAAGGTCACCCGCATGCCTTGGCTTGTGGCCCCTTCCTCCATGTGCAAAGCCAGCAAGTCAAGGCTAGTCAGGTCTTTCACACAATTCCATCTCTCAGGTTCTGATTCATCTGCCTCCTTCTCCATTTAAGGACCTTTAAGATTACATGGACCCATCCAGATAATCCAGAATAGTCTCTTTATTTTAAGATCACCTGATTAATTCCTCGTTGCCAAGTAACACAACATATTCACAGATTCTATGCATTAGGATGTGGACATCTTTTTATTGTTGTTGTTGACACTATTACAGATATCTCCACACACACCCCCCGCCTCCACACAGCCCCTGCCCCCCTTCCCTCTGGCCATCACCACACTGTTGTGTCTGTCTATGGGTTATACATATATGTTCTTTGGCTCATCCCTTCACCTTCTTTCATCCAGTCCTCCCCTTCCCCTTCCCCCTTGACAGCTGTCAGTCTGTATCATGTATCCATACCTCTGTCCTATTTTGTTCATCAGCTTATTTTGTTCCTTAGATTGGTTGTGGACATTTATCCCACCATGGACCATTATTCTGACTACTTCTCTGGGTTGTGCAAGGGACTCATCCTGAGGCATAGACAGGGTGCGAACCAGACCACAATCAGGACGTGCCAGCCACTGTCAGAAAGTTCCTTTCTGCCCAGGTCCCCTCCCACCTGCACGCTGCTAACTCAGCTCAACCTGTCCTGGCCTTTTCTCTCATCTTCTGCTCCCAGTCGGAGGTAGAGAGGAGCTGGGCAGGAAGCACCAGGGATATGGACATGGAGGAAGGAAGAGTCATGCTGGACGCACCAGGGCTGTAGGAGGCCCTGGAGGGCTGAGCACTTCCTACCCCGAGACCCCGCACTTTCCAAGGACTGGGGCTAGAGCCTAGCCTCCGAGGACTTCACACAGAGTCTAAGGGTCGCTCCAAGACTAAAGGGGCAGGCAGCCAAGCATTGGAGCCTCTCTACCTCTGCAGGCCTGGTTGCCCTTGATGGCCAGATT